GCACTCTCCGACATACCCGACTGGCCAAGAATCGAAGCCGTTGCTGAGTTTAGACTACGTACCGGACACAATTGCTTGGCAAAACACCACATATTGGGAGTATACACTCAACCCACATGCCCTCTATGTAACCTATAGGAGGAAATGGAGAAGACCCACCTGATTCGGTGTCCAGCCCTTAAGACAAGGACGGAAAGCCAAAGATACTGGGAAGCAAGAAGACAGCTAATGAATTGCTATTAATTAACTGCTATAAATGTACCCCCCCCCCCTTGGGGGTAGCTGAAGTCAAAGTGTAAGGGCTAATGATAAATATCATAAAGCCTGCCATTTGAAATAAATAAATAAATGTTTGATTCATTCCCAGGGTATTACCAACGCATTGTCTCTTGTCGTTTTACACTTCCTTCCAACTTTTTCTATTGGGTAATGTCTCCATTTTCTTTTTAATAATATTATTCGATGATTGGGCGGTCATCTATGCTGGTGTTGCCCCCTTTTCCCCTATGGAAATGTAAGTACAGAATAGAGGTAAATTTCAGCAATTTTCTGTGTGCCAGTGGTGCGGCTCTATTGTGACTTCCTACTTAAAGACCTTGGAATTTATATGTAATTTGCTACGCTCTACGTTTGTTGGAAGTCCCGTAGTACTACTTCAAGTTCTTTTTCATTTAAGTTCGTTTGTCTTAAATGGCGAGAATATATTTGATAGTTTTCTTTTGCTCCTGATTTCGTCAATTTGCACCCCCCCCCCCTTTAAGTTGCAACAATTTGACAATTTAAAATTGAATCAATGCGAATATACTGACACGTTTTCAGCAACTGTGATGACCAATTTGGCTAGTTGAATCAAGAAGACCGAATGACCATTTTTTATAAATCTGACTGTTGTTCTATTCAAGGTATTCGACGAACTTACAACCTCGTGAAATTTTAGGCGCCTCTCCATTAAGCCAATCTATTTGCTAACATAATCTGCTACTTATTGGGGGTTACTTATCAAATGCGTATTTTTCATTTTATGCCAATTGAAATTGTCACATTTACTCAATTTGGTTAACCGCATCCATGATCCTCTTGTCTAAACGGTTAATTCTGAATTAATTTAAGGTATGTTATAGTTATATTTACTAGTAGGAGGAGTATTGAAACCGCGAGAGAAGACGTCTACTTTGTAGCTAACTCGTTTTAAGTATAAAACTTTAACCATAGCACACGTGTCATAAGTAGCATGATCGTCCATAAATGCATCCTTAAGGGGATTAATTGCACTTGAAGATGATCCATGTAACAGTTACGCCAGCGTATGGTAAGGTAGAAATATGTGCGCCAGGCCAAAGTTTAATATATAAGAGAGGGCAGTCTGAAATATCGCAGTTTTAACGATCTCAAGTTAATCCCCAATCCCTTCAGACAATGTACTCTCTGTGCATAAGTGAAGGGAGGCTAGGACTTCTATAGTTAAGTAGGTTATTTCTGTTTATAACTTCCCTATTTTAAGTTCACTTTTCATTCCCCTAACCTAGGGTCAATTTTGGCTAGAATGCATTACCTCACTTGGAGGCAATAATATTAAACCAACTCTACTCTGCTTTATACACCTTGAGCGCACACGAAGATTAACTATATCCGCTTTGCATTCTGCAAAATTTCAATGAAATTATGCTGATGTTATTACTTAATTACTTTAGAAATTTGTTAGACAAGGCTTTTATCCGGTGGTGCTGGTTATGTTGTATCTCGTGCAGCGCTCAAGATGATCGCTGAGGGTAAGGAAAAGGAGGTTTCCAGCTGTCGTAAACGAGGTGGTCCTGAGGATGTAAATCTTGGTAAGTTCCCTTTATAAAATTTGCCTATAACATGTTATATGGCGCACAGTTGTGGTAAATTTTACTGCATCAGCAAGACGTCTTTCAGCAATATAGTTGTAATACATCCTCGTGTTCACATTTGTCTGTCAAGGTTT